ACAATCATAATCACAATTTGAATTAATAGAATATTGGTTAAAGAATAACAGAATACCAATTTAAATTTATTTTAAATATTATTGGATGTTTTTCTACATTTTCAAATATATTGATTTCAATAACATAGAATACAAAGTATATGGTGCTCACTTTATTTTTTATTACAAATATTTGCACTGTAAAAAAGATAAAAATAGTATTTTTCAATTCACCTCATACAAGTACTGTAATGCAATCTCTTTATGGTGAAAGTGCAACTTGCAAAAGTAGATTTTTTTTTTTTTTAAACTTGGAGGAAATTAATTTGTCAATACTTGTAAGACACGTTGAAGATTCAAAGCACTACAAAAATGCTACTTAGTAATAACCTGGAACCAACTGCTCTGATGTTCTATGAAAGGGACACCATCAATTTAAAAAACCATTTCTACCTGGGAATTTGATCCCTATTAGATCAATTAATGTGACCTCCTGTATAAGATAAGTCATAGAATTTCACCCATTTACCCCTGTATTGAGCCTAATAACGTGTCTGACTACAGCATATCTTCCAGGAAGCCCAAGTAATTCCTCAAAATTACTGTAAATGGATTAGAAAAACAGTATTTATTTTTCCCCCCACTGTGTTTACTGTCTCCACTTGACAGAACTTGGTGGAGTCAGTTTCACTCAGTTGCACTTCCTGTCTCATTTTGTAGCTGTGCCAGATAGGGCAACTTCCTGCAATATGTCTGGGAGATCATATCGTATTAAGTGCATGAATGGTTTATATATTATTGCAGTCCAGGGATTGTGTGCACTCCACAGGATTAACACAGCAGCTCCAGGAAGTGAAAATAGTAAGGGAGGATTAAAGCGAGTTATTCAGATTATAACACCTCCACAGAGGACCAACTCCTGGGAAAGCTCACATATTCTGGTTCAAACTGGATTCTCCAGAGACCAGAAAAACAGCCCAATCTTAAACTTACTTTGGGACTTTGTTCTGATTCCTTTAGACTAAAAACTGGTATCAACTTGTAACCATGAGGAAACCCAATTGTGGGGTTTGAAGGACTGACATTGTCACTTGAGGGTGATGACTGGTTAGCTTTTTAGCGTGCATGTAGGTTCTTTTCTTGTTTTTATATGCTCTCTCTGAAATTCTTTCACCTTCAGAATAAATGTGTTTGCTTAGAAGGAGCTCTCTGGTAACTTGTAACTGCTGGCAATATACTGTTTATAGCCCTTGAAAAGCCAAGCATAGGAAATGCCTTTTAGGCAGACTGGCTTGTTGGGGACAGCACAGTGTAGATCGGGGAGCTGTGCAGTCTCAAAACCCCCAGTCAGAAGGGAGTGAGACACTGATCTCCACTCAAGAGAGTGACAGCTGGAAGCCAGAAACGTTTAAGTGGGTGCCCTTGTAGGACCACGGAGGGGAAAAATACAAGTGCAGTTACCTTGAAACTGTGACACTAGCATGATGATAATCACAGATTGCACACTGCTTTAGAGGAAGAGCTCATACATATATCTGCCCTAGGTTCTGTAAGAGGGTGTTCTCCGCTAACGGAAGTAGCAAAGCTGACACTGAAGAAACAGCAGGCAGACACATGCAGAGAGAGGAAGAAAATAAAAGACCTAAGTTTGTCTAGTATGATTATTCTCAGCCTGCCCAGGTGGCAGTTTTAAACAGCAAAGGAGCAGGAAAAAAATCCACACACAAACAAAAACTTTGTACTTTTTTTATATAAAGGAATTTTTTAAAAGCCATTCTAGGACATATAATTTCAATGAGGTTTCATAAAAAAAATTATATATTTGAAATTGATCGTTTTTTAAAAATTCAAAGCTGATGACCCTCTAAATGCATTTGTGCTGCTATGTAAAGCTCAACATACATTAAAAACAGTTTAGTTGTTTTTAGAACTGGTCAAATACTACCAAACATTTCCCCAGTTCACATTTTTGAATTCACTTGCTTTAGCTTCACTCGCATTCCCTGGTGTGTTCACTTGCATTCCCTGGTGTGTTCACTTTCCTCAGACAATTTGGCTAGAGCTGTACTAGTAAGTGATTTTTTATATTTTTGGTAGTTGTGGAAAAAAATTGGTTTCCAGTCAACCTGAAATCAAGATTTTTTTGAATGTTCAGTGAATTAAAAAGAAGAACAGGAGTACTTGTGGCACCTTAGAGACTAACAAATTTATTAGAGCATAAGCTTTCGTGGACTACAGCCCACGGATATGCATCCGAAGAAGTGGGCTGTAG